ACTACCTGCTTCTGAGAGTGTGCTTTCACATATGCAAAAGCTGTTTGACATTGTGTGTCTAGATAGCTGTCTAGAGTTTATTCTTAAAATCTCCTATTTCATCTTGTATCTGCAACATGTGAAGAAATGCATATATTGGCCATATAAAGTTGCAGTATTCACACTTGAAAGGATTGAATTTATTTCCTTATGAAATGAACTCTTCATGAAACCAATACTCAGGAACTCACACAAAACAGACACCATGCAATAAAACAATAAATGCCGATGTTAGCAAGTTGTACGGGAAAGGACTAAGTGAATTACACTTTTTGTCATAAGCAAGCAGTAGACGGCAGGCAAAATGGGTATTAGTCTACCTACACCCTCTGACTAGCATCAGACTGGCGAGTTTGTGACCGTAAGATCCACGTAAGGCCAGCGTGAGACTTGAAAGAGACATTAGGTCCCCAGTGAACGGATAAGTGAAAGTATAGTGAGTCAGGAATAATCGAATATCTAAATTAATATTTGTGATCATTAAAGTTAGGCAATATTTCAAAGCAATATTTCTAGTTAAAAACTGATCACGTGAAATTGGAGTCAGATTGAACACGGAGCTAGACAAAATTGAAACTAAGTCCTGATAAATTCAGAAGCGCAAGTAAAAGACCGGATACGCATTAAACCTTCAACCAGGCTGCTGGATTCCGCTTTTTGGGCTGGCGGGTGGATCCTTACACACTTCATGTGCAAGCAGCACAGCACTGATTAGCAGGATCATAGCATAAGCAACAGTGCAAGTTGGGTTTTGGTGGTGAGTCTGTTTTTGTTGCTTGATCCCAAATACTCAGAAATGCACTAAGACCTATTTGTCACTACAACCTTTTGCAATATAGGCTTTTGTAAAGCAAAATAAAATAATATGACCTACTCATCCATTCTTTGAAAAAGACATCTGTTGAACTTGATGTAAGTTTCACTCTCAGTTGCAGGCACACAAACATGTTTGATTCAGTCATTTTGACTGATTTCAATCTCTTAGCTACATTTTGGGGTGTCTTTGGGTTTCATAACACTGTAACATTTGAAATAATATAGTCAGTCAGAAAAAAATCTATTTTTTTTTATATGGAACAGTTTATTGAACCTATATATATATACAGTATATATATATAAATCTAAAAAGAGCATATGCATTTTTGTGTATCATATTTGCTACATCAGGCTTTTATGTATGATATAGTGAGAATATGAAGCTCATGCTCAAGGAGGAATCCATTCTTTGAAAAAGACATCTGTTGAACTTGATGTAAGTTTCACTCTCAGTTGCAGGCACACAAACATGTTTGATTCAGTCATTTTGACTGATTTCAATCTCTTAGCTACATTTTGGGGTGTCTTTGGGTTTCATAACACTGTAACATTTGAAATAATATAGTCAGTCAGAAAAAAATCTATTTTTTTTTATATGGAACAGTTTATTGAACCTATATATATATACAGTATATATATATATAAATCTAAAAAGAGCATATGCATTTGTGTGTATCATATTTGCTACATCAGGCTTTTATGTATGATATAGTGAGAATATGAAGCTCATGCTCAAGGAGGGAAAAAAAGCAGCTCAATTTTATTCAGAGGCCCAAACTGAGCAAAAATATGCAATTTGATGCTGTTGCTGATATTTATATAGCCAAAAAGTAAGTTGAAATGCTTATAGCTTGTAATGTAAATCAGTGAGATCTGTATAACAGTATAGCTGACTACGTTCATAAAATGCATATAATTATCAGTTGTCACTCTATATCTCCCAAAAATATGTTTTAATAAGATGATATTTACAGTAAATGCTTATTTTATGAAACCGTAAAAGCTATTTTATTGTGGTGGCAAAATATACTGTATAGTGCATTTACATTACATTACATTTACCTTTAATCATTTAGCGAACACTTTTATGCATATAACAAAATATGCATATCAAATAAGTTTTATATGGTTAATTATGATTCAGTGTCAATGTTGTGTAAGTGAGACTTCATGACCAGAGGTTGCGTTACATATTCTGTTATTTAAAAGTATTAACAGATAATTCCAAATGCTTTCATTTTATCAGATCCCATAAACTTTGTTTGAAATTGATTGCTCAGACTGCCTTGCAGCCAACCAGGATGCCCTTGCAACCATATAGAGTACATAACCATACATCTTATGCTGGTCCCGTGTGAGGTCCCTTGAGGATGCAGCTGTTTTACTGGCACTGGCACCACTTATTTTTTGTTCAGAAAATGCATTGACATATCTAGTTATTTTTGGTATTGCAATGAAAAACTAGTTTCATGGTCAGTACGAAATATTTACCCATGTAAAATTCTCTCAGTTCACCCGTCATTGGCAGAAAGTTAATTTTGGACCTTGCTTATGCTCCTCAAACCTCCACATCAAAGCAGAGAACATGAAAGACAGCGTTAGCAAGTTCTTTAGCCCTTCTTGTTTTGTATTGTCACAGTTGTTGAGCACTCTGTAGAAATGTTAAAGTGGGAACTATCATTTTTACCCATCAGGCTCCAGAGACTTGCGCTCTTTTGGGAATAGAGAATCTGACAGTGGTGGCGATGTGGTCTGATGTTGTATTTAGATGACTGTGTTGATGCACATCAGTGTATGGTTTTAAAGCCGTTTCAGTGACTTATACGGCTGCCGCAGGCACATCGTAGAGATTATGAGTATGACAGATCAAATGGAGACACCTGTTTTTTAAGTTTATCTCTACATCAACCTCTGCGTGTAGGCAGCAACTGTTGAGACAGCCAGCCTCATGACGGGACACACACACACGCACAAATGAATGCTGTAATCCCATGTGTATATTTGTACAAAGTCAAGTAATATCTGTCCTTGCGCATCAAACCCTTACAAAGCAAAGTAGATTAAATCTGTATTTCTGAGAATGGCATTATAATGAGAATTGTTTCCAGTAGTCATACCCAGGGTCCAAATGGTGGGTGAATTGAGAAAATATATCAGCTAGATAGAGTTTTTATTCAAATTTTATTTTATTAATTTATTTTAAAATCTTTTTACAGCAAAAACAAATGAAGGCAAAAAAGTTCAACGTTGCCTTCATCATTTATTTTAGCTGCTTTTGAGATGCCTTTATATCTATTTTATTTTTTTACCCTTGACTCAGACTTCAGTCTTAAAGTATGACACAATTTTTATTTATGAGAATTTATTTAGGGATGCACCAAAATGAAAATTCTAGGCCGAAGCCGAACAAAATGAAACACAGGGCCGAAGGCCGAATACTGAACACGGTTTTTCTAGGGCTGGACGATATGGCCAAAATTTATATCACGATATATTTCTTCAACATTATACCAACAAAGCACAATTTAACTTAAAATTAATAAGTTGCTTAGCAGAAAAGACTTATTTTAAAACATTAGAATATATTACAGATCCCAATTTGAACATTATGTGTGAATGTTATAATAAATGTATTAATTGAGCTGTTGAAGGGTAATTACTATTATCATTATTATTGTCTTACTTTTTTATTTTATTTTACAGAACGACAGTAAAATGACAATACTATCATTTATGAATGTCGATGGAGTTGTTGCTTTTTCTCGCCTTTTATTTTGGCAGAAACCCGCAGGAAGATCTCAGTGCTTCTTTTTGTTGACAGCTGCATGCAGATTTATAAATGATTCTCATTACGAATTTGGGAAGATGTTTGTCGCACGTATCACATTGTCACATGCCTTTAAAAAAATTCACAAAAATGTTACTGAGCAACTGACGAAGTAACAAGTTCAGCGCAGATTTTCCTCGCGCTTTGAACCCTGATGCCGCGAGCTCGTGCAGCGCTGTCAGAATACATGCAATTCGTGCGTGCATTAGAAAATATAACATTCTGCAGTTTATTTACTAATCGTTTAAAGGTAATTTCGCGATTTCAATCATCATACAGTAACCTAACCACCAGAATCAGCCACCTCTTCTTCTCATCGGAGACGTGATGCTGCACTAAACAGTCTCTCGCTGTCGGTGCTTCGTGCTTGTAATGATTTCTGCGTCTTTCTCTGATAGTTTTAAATACTTTTACACTGCCGACATGTTTGCTGCATTAGTGCGTGCCTCTATTTGATCGCGTTAGTCATTGTTCGGTACATATTATTCAGCCTTTTCGCTTATTCGGCCGAACACCGAAAGATATTTTTTTGCTATTTTCGGCCGAATAATTTCGGTTGCCAAATATTCGGTGCATCCCTAAATTTATTTATGAGATTTTATTTTATTTTTTTAATTTTTGCTCATAAACTCATAAAATGCTAGTTATGAAACTAGCCTTTGCAAGACAGGGGAGTTTTTAAAACATGTCAAAAATTACAGAATTCTGCATGTATTGTCCACTTTTAAGACATTGTAAGTGGACAAATTAAATACAAAGGTTTTTATTTTTATTTTTTTCATATAAATCCACAGGTCCAAAACTGCCCAGTTCTTACTGTATTTCATCCTTTATATTTTTTCTACCTTTTTTGTTGCTATGTAACTTGCATTTTGGGATTAGCAAGTGTTATTTCAGAGTGCACTCATTGGTTACTGTGCCTGAAACTTTGACCCAATATCCACATGCCAGCTTAACTGACAGACTTGTCTGAGTTTTAGCTGAATTTGTAGCTGAAGTTGCTATGAGAAATGTATTGACTTGTGCAGAAGAATGTGTGTGTGTGTGTTGGGCATCGAGCATCCACTGGTGTCAAGAATGGTGAAATGGTTCCACTGGTGAACACTTAGATGAAGTGTTTGACCAATATGCCTAATCTTGATATGTAGAAATCATCAGTATGGATGCAGCATTACACCACATTTTTCTGTTGATTTTTAAACTGAGTATTTTATGTATTTTGTAATACTTCTGTTAGGTTGTCAAGTGCTACACAGTTAACAGTGATATATTGGTGTTTTGGACTTTAAAATAAAACCATCTCTCTGTTTTTCTGCAGGTGGGTTGGCAGTAGGCAGTAACTGAAGATGAGGAGGCGCTGGTGGCGATCGGGGTTGGTGATTGGCTTGCTTGTTATCATCACCCAAATCTCGGCTCAAAACACAGAGGGTGAGACTCAAAGTTCTGTCCATCATTCATTCCCTATCACTAACTCAAGAGATTTTATTTACCACTTTTGCAAAATAAACCTTGCACCTTTTCTCCAGAACCATAACTTTCGATTTAATTCCTGGAGTTGGTGAAATGGGATGTTACAGCCAAGCGTTTACGCTCTGAGCGAAGTCAGAGAGATAATTGTATCTCTATCTCTGTGTGGCAGTGTCCCGCAAATCGGTCTCTGCGTCTTCTCTGCACACCTTCATTACCGAAGCAGCCAGATACAGCTCTCCAAACTGAGCATCTGATGATGTATGAATTATACCGTCACGTCTGCCAAAGACAAACTGACAACCGTAATAAAAATCTCAAAACGTTGCTGGAAATGCCGCAAGGCTGAGTGGAAATAGAGGCAAATAAATTGTGGCTATTGTCAGACTGTTCAGATTAGCGGTTGAGGATAAAAGATTGGTGGGCGTCTATAGTTGACATTTTCCGATATCCTTGTCTGTTCATGCGGCGTTTATTGTTATGGATTTTAGTATGATTTGAAGAGCACAGTGAGGATGTTATGTGCAGGGCTGGGTGGTAAAATTGTATATAACGTGCGACGGTTGAAATTCTGCCTTACTCTTTATGCCACAGAATATCCATGATGCAACTTCTTACAACAGTCTGAAAACTGTCGCATATGGGGGCTTCCAGTGTAGATATCCTCATTAATTATAATGGGAGTCGTTTAGATTTAGCATGTTGTCTTTTGTGTCTAGTATAGACATAATATAACTGAATGTTGTTTGTGGTTGTCAAGCAATGTCTCATCGTGGCTCATTAAAATACAGGTGTGCAACTGTGATTGAAATGGCTATTTATTGGCAGAAGAATAATATTTGTGGTTCATCCTATTAAAAAATTCAAACTTGGTCCAAAACCTGACAAGCTTAGATGAACTTGAATGAAAAAGCTAATTCAAGATGGCAAAAATTAACAAAAAGACATTCAATCTGATGAAAAATCTAAAAACTGTTTTACTCTATTCATGTGAACTATGTATTTGTTGTGTTTCTTAAAGGTATAGTTTGCCCAAAAATTGTAAATTTGCTGAAAATGTACTCAACCTCGGGCCATCTAAGATGTAGAAGAGTTTTTTCTTTGTTATAGAGCAGATTTGGAGAAATGTAGCATTACATCACTTGCTCACCAATGGATCCTCTGCAGTGAATGGGTGCCGTCAGAATGAGAGTCCAAACAGCTGATGAAAACATCACAATAATCCACAATTAATCCACACGACTCCAGTCCATCAATTAACATCTTGTGAAGTGAAAAGCTGTGTGTAAGAAACAAATCTGTCATTAAGATTTTTAACTTTAAATCATTGCTCCTGGCTAAAATATGAATACTCTATTCATAATATTGCTTTCTCTAGCTAAAAAAGGGTCTCAGCCGAATCAGGAGAGAAATATGCACAGATCAAGCACTGTTTGATGTGATTTGATTTTGAAGTGAAAACAGTCCAAAACAGTTCTAAACAAATATGGTTGTGGATTTTGATGTGAGAGGACAACAGGGAGGAAGCATTACTGTAAATTAAGGACTCATATTTTGGCCAGAAGTGATGGTTTAAAATTAAAATGCACTGAAGTTACAATAAGTGATTTCTTAGGAACACTGTTGAAAATTTAAGTCAATACCCAAACAAACAATTGCTTACTACACCTTTAATGTTGTATTTGTTTCTTACAAACCCGTAGCTTTTAACTTCATAGGACATTAATTGGGTGGACTGGAGTCTTGTTGATTACTTCTGGATAATTGTGACATTTTTATCAACTGTTTAGACTCTCATTCTGACGGCACCCATTCACTGCAGAGGATCCATTGGTGAGCAAGTGATGTAATGCTACATTTCTCCAAATATGTTCCTGAAGAAATAAACTCATCTTAGATAGCCTGAGGGTGAGTACATTTTCAGCAAATTGTATTTTTCAGGTGAGCTATTCCTTTAAGGCCTTACACATGATTTGGGCTTCACCACAAGCGTCATGCGCCATTTTCACCTCCTTCAAAAACACTGGAGTTCCACGAAAGGGCAGTTTTTCTGGGAAGAAACAAAGTGGGACGTGTGCACAAAAAGATCTGTCAATGGCTTTGTTGCATCAAAGAAAGGAAAAAGGAGCTGTCACCTTTTTACTTATTGTTATTATTATTTTTTTTAAAGCTGTGCAACATACTAATGTTGACAATTACATGTTGCAGACAAGATGAGCCTAACAAAGGTCAGATGACAGCAAACAAAGGATGTGAAAGCATTAAAAATAAAACAAATAAGGTGAATAAAGATGAATAAAAGGAAATTATGAGGCATTCGAGATCTCCTTATAAAGTTTGACAGTTTTAAAACTTTTTTCTTGCTGCTTTGTGCTCCAAAAAACAGCATTAGTGTGGCAAAATTATGTGTGACAGCCACATACTTATGGCCAAATTTGGAATAGTGATTGTAAAGAATGACAAGTCAGCAGCAAACTGGTTCAAAGCTGAAATAGTTTAGAAATAGCTTGACTGGCGGACAGCCAGTATTGGAGGTAACTCTGTAGCTGTCATAAATTCATAGAGTATCATACAATGGGGAAACTTGATGCAAGTTATGTGAAAAGGCCTTTAGATTATTAATTCATTAGCTTAGCATCATGCTAAAATCTGATTAGTGCAACTGTGAGTGTCAGAGCTTGTTTATTTGTGTGCCATTTGTGTAATGTGCTTTAATAGAGCTGTTGACTGTTTACATTGTTTCAAATCAGTCCGTTAGGTGCCATTTTGTTTAGTATGCTGCCTCAGAAGAATTGGTGGGTTTTAACTTCACATGGGAATGCTACTAACTTAAATGCATCTCTCAGTAGCAGTGTTGGGCAGTAACGCATTACTTAGTAACGTTACTGTAATTTGATTACTTTTTTAGTAATGGAGTAATTTAACGCATTATAATTTTCAAAATAGTAATTAGTAGGGCTGTGCAATTAGTCGAAAAACAGTTTCGATTTCGATTTTGGCCTCCAACGATTATGAAAATATAATAATCGAGATAAAATTATTATTGTGCCCCAAGTGCCAGTGGATTAGAGACCTGATCCCGCGAGACCCGACGCAACAGAGTGCGGTGCGGGACAAGATGGGCGAGTGCTGGTGCGGGCGGGTTGACACTCGTGTGTGTGCGGTATGCGGGATGCGGGAGAAGGATTCACGGGACTCCCGCAAAATAGAAATATCTAAACAGAAAATATCTAAAACAAATAAATTGTTATTCATCTACTGCACAAAAGCAACATGAACTAATATAAAATATAAACAATTAACAGGTGCAAGCGCATGCGGAGTTTCTACTTAGGCTATAACACGTGTTTGCAGCATTGAACAATGCAGTGCTGAAATTTGCGTGCTCACGAATCCTCTCATTATAACACATGAATTGTAGACATTAGGGCTGGGCGATATATATATAAAAAAATTATATCTCGATATTGTCAAAATTTTTACGATATTCAATATATATCTCGATATGTTTGCATTTGCTTTTAAATAATAAAAAAAACATGATTTTCTTTTGCCCCATTAAAAAAACAACAAAACAATTTAGATTGAACAGCTATTGTTACAAAGTAAATACTAAATGTTTAGTGCAAATTTAAGCAGTTAAAAAAAATCTAGACCAAGAGATCACTTTACTGCTTTTTATTAAATGAACACGGGTATATGTAACTGAAGTAGTGCAAAACAAGTACAGAAAGTGCATTCTGTCAACTTTTTTAGTGCATGCTAGTGTTGTCAAAAGACCCGGTACTTCGGTACCAAGTCGGTACTAAAAAAATTAAAACGTTACGTTACCAGGTTTTTTTAAGTACCGGTGGTACCGAGTACCCGAGTACCCGATCAACCCGGTTCTTTATGCGCTATCCGAAAGGTGCACAGATGCGCTCTCTTCATAAAAGCACTGAGACGTGGCGACATCAAAAGGAGGAAACACACCAAACTAACAAAACACTTTAAAGACACCCAGATCAAATGAAAGAGTTCAAGCAGGTAAGTTTCATTTTAATTTTTAATATTTAGATCTAGTGTTTCCCATACATTGATTGAGCCCGCCACAATAGCAAAACTGACCACAAATAGATTTTCCTAAAGGCTTTGACTTCGTTGAATAAACATGACCACTGCACGTGTCAAAGTCGAAACCCGGTGCAAGTATTTTTATATCACTGTATTTCTGAAGGAAACTGACTGTCTTCAGAAAATTATGGATGTCATTTTCACTTCATCTTGCCTGTAATGCCTGAGCAGCGTTTGTGAGCGCAGTGCTTATTTGATTACAGCCATTACTGGGAAAACCTCTATCTCTCCCGCTCTACAAGCGCCTCCTGCTGGCAGAGAATGAGTTTGCATATATATGCCGCCACAAATAGAGTGCACGTTCTGGGGGAAACACTGCTTCTGTTATGAATATTATTCAATATTTTAATTTGAATGTTGGATTGAAATGAACGCTGTTAGAGTAGTTAATCATTAGCATAATGCTAATATAATCTATAATAACGCTAATATAATGAGCAGTAGTATGAAGTTTCTTTATTAACTATTTAATGTTCCTATAACTTTTATTAGGGTAAAAAAAAAATATCTAAAACAAATAAATTGTTATTCATCTACTGCACAAAAGCAACATGAACTAATATAAAATATAAACAATTAACAGGTGCAAGCGCATGCGGAGTTTCTACTTAGGCTATAACACGTGTTTGCAGCATTGAACAATGCAGTGCTGAAATTTGCGTGCTCACGAATCCTCTCATTATAACACATGAATTGTAGACATTAGGGCTGGGCGATATATATATAAAAAAATTATATCTCGATATTGTCAAAATTTTTACGATATTCAATATATATCTCGATATGTTTGCATTTGCTTTTAAATAATAAAAAAAACATGATTTTCTTTTGCCCCATTAAAAAAACAA